GTGATTTTGAGGATCAAAAAGTGAATGGGGGGATTTAATTGGATTGATAAGGGTGTTAGGGTCTTTTCCAATGGTGATGGTATTTATGACATTTGATATTGTTTATTTACTGTTTTTTATAATTGAAGGCCATTTGGCCAAGAAACATTGAGCTGGGCTTTTTTAACCAAAATTATGGTTTGACTGGGTTTTTTAACAAAGAGTTCTATGTCTAATCTTGGGTATTATGGGTAACTGGGTTTTTAAATTTAATCCATCTATTTCATAAAGAGTAAAATTTACCTGATTGTCGAATGCCCAATCTTGGGTTTTTAGTAAGATTTATTTCCTATTTAATTTATAGAAAATAGGTTTTAACCAGTAATTAATGTGTAGAAAAAGGTTTTTAAATTGTTCATGTGGATTCAGATATTCGAATTCTTAATTGTCTTTTAATTTTTATAGAATTGCTATCTATTAGTTACTTTATCTTGCCCTTTCACTAATTTTGAAGTTTGTAAGGTTAGTCTTCATATCTGCATGCTTAATTATCAGTTGTTGCAAGTTTACTTTTCGGACTAAAGATGTTATCTTTCGTCAAGCATTCGGATTAAGCTCGTGACACTGTGTAATTAGCTTGTTATGTATTGCAGCCGTCCATGTTATGGATTTAAGAGGAACATGAAACGAGCTGGGTATGGTTCTTGCTTTCTTCAGGTATATACTCAAGGATCAAGCACTCATATTCACTGTTGTCATTGTGATAGTATGTCAATTAAACCAATGGAGATTAATCCTAATATCAATTTAAATAACCCCACCTCTTATTTTTAGAAAGAAAAAAAAAATATCAGGAAGAGTTTTTGATTAGTGCTAATATTAAATAAGGAAAATAAAAACAATTACAGATCAAATAGGATGATTTAAGCGTTGCAACACAGGATTCTCATGTTCAATTCTGAAGTTGTACTCGGTCGAATGCACTAATTAAATCAATTTACATTTCTTGAGTTCAAATTCATCATATCTCTATATGAATCCAAATAAGCCTTAACTAAACGCATTAAATCACCTAGGAATTCAATTAAAGACTGCAACAATAATAATAGTGTATCTCTACCTTTTACCCAATTGTTGGATTTACCACTTGGTCTAAGCTTGTAACTTACCTTTTATTTGTTACAATCCACAAATTATGAATTAGTGACCAAGTAATGCAAGCATTAAGAAGAATTAAATCAACACATAAAACAATTAACTTCGTAAATCTTGAGAACTGGAATTAAATGTTCAAATCTAGGTAACCTAGTTCATCTCCACTAATGATTTAGTTATGCATCATATAAATAGAAAATCACAAAGCGGTATTGGAATATATCACCAATTTTTTTAAATAAAAAGATGAATCTCTTGTACCAGAAATTTACCTTCGAGTAAATTTCTTGAAACTCTAGGTAACATAGTTCTCTCCTCTTGTATGTACTCTTTTGATACTCTATTGTCTCCCTTAATTTGACCTAAAATGGGTCTTTATATAGTGTCCAAACCACTTTAAAAGTCGTGCGGTCGAAAGGACCAAATTACCCCTGAAATAAAACTGGCAAAAAAAACTTAAATTCCCGGATGGACCATGGTCGTGCCGCGGTAAGGAAACTTGATTGAGCTACGGCAAAAATCTTGCCAAATTTTTCAACCGTGGCATGCAATTGCCATATTTGACAGCGGTCACACCCCCTGCAACTTTCATCTTTTTATATTTTGATTTTTGTTTCAAGTTTATTGTACGCTTTTGGTCTCTTTTGTCCAAATATTCAATATTGCTCCTGTAACTTCCAAAAGCTTCCATATTTGGTCCCCCAACCTCCATAATCATCCAAATTTGGTCATTCTCAAGTTCCTCAAGTGAGCAAATTAGTTCTCAAACTTTCCATAATTCGAATTTCACACTTGAAACTTGTGAATTTCCTCCAATTAAGCTCCAAATCTTCCAAGCTCCTCCCAAGTCTTTGTTTACATGTAATGACAATATTTAAACTAAATTAAGAGCCCGTTAGAAAAAGAGTTTTGAATAATGATTTTTAGGAGAATGTGTGGTTAAAAAGTAGGTAAAAGTTTTTGATATACTTGTAGAATATTTTATTGTGTGAATGTGTGGTTGAAAAACAAATCATAAATTAAATTAATGGGGGTCAAACAAGTACTAAGTAGAAATTCGCTCAATTTGCAAATATATATTAAGTTTATAAGCAAAGATAAGCGTGTACAACACACTTATAATTCACTTAAGATAGGGCACTCATTCATGTACATTTTTCTTCTTGGTGCTTTTCGTTAAATTGATCCTCTAGCTCAGAGATGTTGATGTGACTATTTTTGTTCTAGGTCAGTATGTGTCCGAGTGCATGCATTAATTGTATGTTTTTTTTTGTACTTCCCTTTAACATACGTGGGATTTTACCGCTCGCAGATTAAGAAAAAGTTCAACATAAAAGTAAGTTATCCAATGAAGAACTGCCTTAAATTATTTAATCCGAAAGATGTTAATATGTTTTCTGATTCAGATGGTATATTTCATTTACGCAACAGCTTACATGTTACACAGAGAGGTGGGACTAAATGGGAAACAAACAAATGAATATGTATGCTTACTAACAACTGAGAGAAAAATAAATGATGTGCTAAGAAGTGTTTTGAGTTGAATTTATGTTGAAGTTTTCAGAGCCTCAGAGGGTAATCAGTGTCTGCCAAGCAATTGGTGTCATTTGGTGGATCAGTTTCTTCTATTGGTGATGACAGATGGGGCTTAAGTGCTTAGTTGATTTTGGAGGTCTACGGACGATAGAGGAGATGGAATTAGCCTGATGGCCTGACGAGTGTGTTAGGCAAGGGAGAGTGGAGGAAAATGCCTACGAAGGTGAAAGGGGATGGTTATGACGTGTAGTATTCTGGTTATCTTTATTTGATCATAAAATGCACTTCAACTTGTTTATATAGAGGGTTAGATATTTGTTTCAGATAAAATACTAGATAACTAAACTCATTAGTATTGATGGCTAAGAGCAGAAAGCAGAGCAAGTCATTGTAAGATTTCAAGCACAAATAACCATTCAATATGCACAGCAGCCTTTCTTGCTACTCATTTTTCTAGCTATAAGCCTCAAAATAGGTTTATTCCACTTGATTGGGTTCGAGTGGTCATTACTTTAGTCAAAGAACAGCTGACAGAATGCTTATTTGTTTTCCACTACTTCCGTGCTTATATTATATGGAGAAGTGTAATCTTGGTTGAATTGGTACTCATTGAAACTTTTGATTGCTAATGAATTTGTTGTTTCAGTGTCTGATTAGAACTCGTGCTTGTGCAGGGTAGTGATAGTTCTTTGGATGACTGTTTACCATCTGATTTGCCTCTCAGGTCGGTCCTCTTTGCACATTTTTAGTGTGATTTGTTTTATTTGGCAGCAGAATAGCACAATTTCACCTCCGAGTCTAACCCGGTTCTTCATACATAACTTTCTGTCTTCTTAATGGTTGTCCAATTATGCTTTTATATATTGAATCAGGAGTCCCGAACACTGGAGATGAACAGTGTACAAGATGGCATATGGCATGGTAGAGGTGATACAATATGTGTCGGAAGCTATTCTGAGGGTAACAAGGCATTATTCGAGTTTAGTCCACCTTTTGCCAGTCTCCTGAACGCCATACGATGCAAAAAACTTCAAGCAATCATTTTTCTACTGCTATAGTTGTGGATTCTTCTCCTTTGGCACCACCATCTGATTAATAGTTCATTTTTCGACA